CGGGAATTTCGAGAGAATGGTAAGATAATCGGTTTGTATGAAAAGGAAGAGGTGGTTCCTCCTAGAGAGAGAAATACTGGGTGAGGAGAGAGGAAAGTGAACGCCATTGGAGACTGAGAGAGTGATGAAAGGTTTTTCGAGGGGATAAGAGTTTGGTTGCGAAATGGTGCGTATAGAGGAATTAAAGGTGACCGATAAAACGGTGCGTATCAAGTATCAGTGATGATAAAAAAAGTGGGTTTAAATATATAGGAAAGGGCCCGTAATCATGGCCCACTATAATAGCCCACTATGTTATTGAATACGGTTTACCCAACGAAATAGAAACCTATTAGAGAATCCGGTTAGTAGTCTACCTACCTGTCTAGGAGAAGACAAATACAATAAAATCTTTATGTTGGAACTGTTTATTAATTTATCAATTTATTAATTTATCGATATAAAAATCAGTTTAAAAAGCTAATATGAAATTTAAGAAATGTATTAATTTATGGAGGTATTAATTTATCGAATATTAATTTATAGAAGTTATACTGTAGTTGCTTAAAATTGCTAAGTTGTTGCAGAAAACCCAACAGACAAATATATTTTTATATCTTTTTCCTACTGAGTGTGACATAAAAGATAAGTTAATTTGTTTCTAGATTTTCAAGAGTTACTATTTTTTAAACTGATAAGATCCATCTCACATCAAAAATTAAGCAAATAATTGAGTTGTAAACTTATAAATTAAACATATTTTTTCACTTAAATATTAAATTTTAGTGTATAATTTTATTTTTATATTGTTTTTATTTTATTTTATAAACCCGTAACTTGGTCATCGATAGAACATCGTAAAATCACATGGCCACTTTAATTTGTAACGTGGACCGGACGACAAAAAAAAAAAAAAAGACGACAAAAAAAAAAATTTGTAACGTGGACCGACCACCGCCATTTACAGTTGAGTTGGTTTAATACACCCTTTGTGGTCCCTTTTCGTATTGGGCCTCACATCAAACATTCCGTCGGCCCATTTCATAACACGTGACGTGCACATGCTATAATGCGATTACTGTTCTCTTAAATATCCATAAAATACAAAGAAATGAGTCTAATCAGATCCATGTTAATATGTCATAGTCTTCAAATAATACGTATTACAAATTATGATTATCTATATGTATCTAGTTTAATTTGTTTACTAGATTCTAAACATGTGCGTCCGCACGGAAATTTTTTGTTTTTTTTAATATAATTTATATTTTTTTAGATATAAGTTATTTTTATTATTTATTTATTTTCTTAAATCAAAAATATTTATTTTTAAAATTTTTAAATATGAAAAAATTATAAGAATGAGATGTGTTAAGCTTTTCATCATACTGGTGTCGAGCTATTTTTTTGCAGGACATTTTGTTATCATGTTTTAACTTTAAATAGTATAAAATTGTATATTAGTAGAATAAAAATATAAATTAATTAAGTATATTTCGATCTAATGTTATCATTATTTAATAACTTACATGTTTTTAAAAACTAATTTGTATAAAAATGTAATTATAAATGCATAACCCTAATCTGTTATATCATATTATTATAATATAAAAATATTTACTAATATTGAATATTTGATATTTTAGACCGATTTTGATTAGGATAAAATATAATAAGATATTCAAATACCATTTGTGTTATTATAAAAATAGATATATCTATAAATTGGCTAACTTGTTCATTTAGTTACCTTAAATCATTTTAACATTTAATTTTTACATGTTTTAACAAACTAACCTATATAGGACCTGAAATATAATATAATATTTCTTTATTTTAAATATTTGATATTTTAGACCGTTTGATTATGATAAAATATAATAAGATATTCGTTTATCATTTGCGATATTATGAAAGTAAAATTTAAAATTTAAATTTTAAATTAAATTTAACCTATATTTAAAGAATTCTAAAGTAATTAAAACTATTACCTAAATTTTTGTAATAAATTTTAATTATAAAATTTTAAATTTTTTTTGGAATTTTAAATTAAACTAAACCTAAATTTTAATAATTAAATATAATTATCAAAAATCTTGAATAATTTTAAATTTAATTATCACCAATATTTAAGGAGAATCTAAAAATATTTAAATTAATACCTAATTTTTGGAATTTAATATAAATATAAAATAAAATAAATTTTAAAAAATTTTGGGAGTGTTTGGAAGCAAACACTAAAAGTGATTTTATTTTAATATAATAAATAAGCAATGTAAAATTTATATTGAACAATGCCATATATTGCTTAATCGGGATTTTACTAACTTGTATGATAACAAATATGATAATTTCTTTTTTTCTCTTTCAAATATGATAACTTCTTAACTCTTTATGTTGGTTAAAATAATTATCGGTTATGAGAGTGTCGAATACGTATATTGAACTTCGCTATAGTATAAATAGATTAAGTTCCTCTCCTCTCCAGTCCAAATCTGTTAAATGAATTTAGTTTTTTCCATTAATTAACAAAAGAATTAAACTGAAATTCTAAGTACCTTTCACCTTTGGTTAAGTAATATATGACGTCCGTAGCTTTGACGTTTATGAATGTATAAGATACGATTTATTCACCTACATACATTGACGGGCACGCAACTACATACGCAGATATAGATGTATTCGTAATACGTATACTTGATATTTGATGTTACGAAAATTATGTAATGGTGAAAAAATGTCAGTTGTCGTGATACCTTTGTCGGTACACTATCTAAAACAATTCGTCTACTGTATTTACGTAAATGATATAAAGGATTATAATATGTATAGGCAAATGGCAATTTGACATAAATAGTTATATTCTATTGGACGGCGGAGAGAAACTTTGGTGAAAAGTTAGATGGATTTTGATTATTAATAACATAAGACAAGTGGACAACCACACGTATACCGTTACTAGTCAAACAATCATATTAATGTTTCACCAGTTTTTTAATAGATAATGCGTATAGATTATACTAAAATGCAATCTCAAATTTGAATAATCAAGTCGTCTTGACTTAATCATATTGACCTAATCCTATTGACTACAGAGTTAAGATTTGTTAGTGTTGAAAGGTGATATAAAAGATGAACAGAACATACAGAGTAAATTCGATCAGTGTAGAAAAATAATAAATTAATTCCCTGCCATCGACTAATCCTCATTAAAAAGAAGGCCATCATCATTCATATCTCACCCACGAGCTTGTATTGTATATCAAGAACTTTTGTTTTTCACGATTTTGTTGTAATGGCTATCTTATGTGTTTTATATTTAATTGTTTTCAAAACGCTTGAAATATTTTTTATTAACAATTTTGATTTTTAAAGAGGTGCAACAAACGAAACAAATTAGAATTGATTGATAGACCTAATCCATAGCATATACTTAAGAACAAACATTTTAATTAAATAACGTAATAACTGTTGACAATGAAAGCAAAAATAAGAGAAACGATTTGTCTTCGGCTGATAATTTTCAACAGATAATTTAACATTTAAACCAAAAAAATAATTTAAGTACATATACAACTCTGATTGCAGCAAAACACATGCATTTGCAAGACCAACTGTTTTCATGCAAAAAGCAATAGTTACAAAAATTGTGAATGGGTGAATTAAAAGTTGAGTCCGTAAAAGTTTAACAATCACTGTCACCATCTCAACTACGACAATCACATGCCATTGAATAAATTAAATTTCAATTCTCTATATTAGTTACATATAGCGTAACTTTGTTAATTATATATTAACCATATCAACATGAAAACAAAAAACACATGTAGATCTCAGATTACTTTACGGGTTCACTCACAATTCACATAACTCATCAAAAGTAAATAATTTTGCCAGATTTTTCGAGAACGTGCAGCAATATAAATACTAAAATAATTACAGTTTCTAGTTTATGTCCTTGTTTATCATCTGATGAAAGGTTTGTATATTATATTACAATTATATTTAATTTAAACACAGACCCGGTAGCAAATACCAAATATGAAAATGGAAGAGAAAAGAACATGTCGTATTGGGATCGGTTACTCTATAAATGTATTTTATTCAAATATATACACATTAACTTGTTGATAACTTGATATATACATATATAAAGTATTAATGTAATGTACGCACACCTATTAAATGTGCATGTGTATACACGTACTATGACATAGATGGAAAAACAAGTCTTTACGTGTGGAAAAAAAAAAAAAAAAAAAACAAGTCTTTACGTTACTAATTTAATAAGATTAATCTGCAGAAAATAAGACTAATAATATTCATTTATGTATTCGCCTACTCGGAACTAATTGGTTTAATGGCACGATATTTGACTATAACAGTATAATATAATGACCTAATAGGTAATAATAAGAGTAATATATATATATATATATATATTCATCATTTAAAGCAGATGTACTAGTACTACTGTCAATAATTACTGGAGTTCCAACGGTTACATTTTCGATTGAAAAAAATTTTGGGCCAAAAAATCTGTACACTGTCAATAAAAGTGTACTTTTTAGACAGTGATAAATTAATGTTCTAAATCACATAAAACCCACTGTAATATTTATGTTTCATAAACATATATATATATACAAAATATGTGTAATTGTAGATAAGAAGATGACAGAATTAAAACCTTTATTTGAAAGCATTGTCTTATATGTGAAAACAGTCTGCAAATTTCCAATGTCTCTTTCATTCTCACGTCCCTCTCCTTCTTTCTCATTTTCACTTAAATATTTTGGCAAACTAAAAACAAGAAAGTAATTATTTAGTTTATTATAAGAATACAAAAACTTCCACTATTAAAATGTCTGGTTGCCTGCGAAATACAAAAAGATGTCTGACGGTCTAAAAAAAAGATCTAAAAGTATAAATTTCCATTGGTCTTTTGATTGTTTTCCTTTCTATTCTAATCATTTCCTATTTTTCCACATTTCATTTAATTTTATAAAGTTTCTTCCTTCATCTTCTTCCTCTTCTACTTCTTCTCCATAACGGGACTAAAGCCTCTTTAATGGCGAGAGGACCCATCTCCAAGAATAAACAGTAATCCTCATTTATTGTCCTTACAAATTTTCTCGAAGACAAAAATAAACCCCAATTTATAAAAACAAATAAATCTTTTCTTTTTCATTAGATAGGTAGATGAAGAGACAAGGGTCCCTTTAATTTTCTCTAAAGATCTTCAAAAACCCAACCTCAATCATGTTGGGCACTTTTTTTTTCCTTTTGTGTGTCGAAACAAAAATTTGAGGTTTTTAACTCTTAAAGTTTATCAGTCCATCACAAAGCTCAGTGCTTGATTGGCTCCACAGACTCTAAAAGGAAAAGTTTGCATCTTTTTCTGACCCATTTCAACCTAAACACTCAGGTAAGCAAATCCCTGAAATTCATGTATATAAACGCACACATATACATTGAAAGATTGCATTTTTTACGCCAAAGGAGGTTCTTTTCATGAAGAAGTTTTTACTGAAAATCTCAGTCTAGGGTTTAGGGTACGGAAAAAAGGAAACCCAGAAAGTAAAATTGACAGTTTTGTAAGCAGAAGAAGCAATTTTCTGTCATAAGAATCCTCTGTTTTTTTCTTCTGTTTATATGTTTTTAAGTTTATCGGTATTGTTGTTAAGAGATAAGGGTTTTTGTTTTTTCCAGGTTTCTGTGAATCGGTTTTTACTAGATTGAAGATCAGAGTTTTTGAATGATTGAAGAATTCTTTGGTAATCAATGGAGAAAAGGAGATCACCGAGAAGCAGCAAGAGTCCTGGAAATGCAATTTTCCCTAAAAGCCCTCTTCTCTACGAGAGTTATAAGTCGGGTTGTGGTTCGAAACTGATAAAATTCTTCGATTTCAGACATGTGAAATCTGGTAATAAGAGACTGAATCCAGAGAAGAAATTCATCAGAGATTCTGCAGGTTAGTACTAGAAGTGTTTTTAATCGATGTTTCTTGGATCACTTCATGATCTTAGTGTTAATTTGATTCCTGTTTTTTTGCAGGTAATGTTTATACTAAAAGCCAGCTTGATCTGCTCAAGAGACTTCATGATAAATGTCAGTGTAATGATGTAAGTTCTTAAACTGTTAGTTTTTGGGTTAGCTTTTAGGATTTTAAAGGAAAAAAAAAACTGAATCTTTGCGTTGTTCAGCTGATTGTGGAAGGAGAGAATTCATGTAAGCCTAAAACGAGGAGAAGATCTTTAAGTTCTGAAACAGAAGAGGAGAACTATGAATCAAAACCTGTTCACGGATTACTAGAGAGAGAGATTAAGAGGATCAAGAATCGAAAGGAGGAAACTGGCGATAGCCCGGATAAGCTAAAACAATCTTCTTTAAGTGAAATTGAGAAGACAAATGATAAGGATAAGCCAATGGATCTGAAGAATGGGAGAGATTGCAAGAAAAGCTTTGAGATTAACCTTCAAGCTTGTGTGAATGACGCCGCTGAAACATTTATCTGTTCGAAGGCAGAGGAGAATGGCAAAGACCGGTCTAAGCAGTTCATGGAAGCATTAGATATTTTAAGTTCGAACAAGGAATTGTTTATTACACTCTTACAAGATCCTGATTCTTTCTCGGCGAAGAAAGGCCAAGACTTGCAAGGATCTAAGGTAAAGGAACCACGGGATACATCTCTTTCATTCGCTGATGAGTTGGATAAGATTGTTCTCTTGAAGCCTAGATTATCAAGCTCGGTTGACGATAGAGTGTACTTGAGATTCAAACATCTAGCCAAGAAGTTGAAGCTTGTTGTTGGATCTAACAAAGACAGCAATCACATAGAAATTAAACCCGAGTGTAGCGGTAAAGCTAGTGAAATCGAGGTTGCTGCTTTTAGAACAAGTGATGTTTCTACCAGTACAGTTGGCCATAGAAGCCCGGAGTCACCGGTGTTTAGGCGCAAGAAACGGGTTGAATCTGATGTCTTCAAGCTAAGCAAGGAGAATGATGTTTTGCCAAGGAGATTCATGGTGGAAAGGCAACTGGAGAGATCAAATTCTTCTCCGGTTTATGAAGTTCCTAATGCATTGAGTAGCTTGCAGACAAAACTCAAAGAGAGAAGACAGAGGCTGGAGAAGAGGAGAGAGAGCTTCAAGTTGTGGTCCTTGGACAAGAACTTCGAGGTTTTCGACCCGAATCCGCACAATTCTAATCCAAGGTCTCTCGATGACAATTGTACAGGTAATGAAAAACTGTGTACAAAAACTTTAACGAATCATCTTCGAGTCAATGTGACTGAGCTGTTAAGAATTGAACCAGGTTCTACGGAGTACAGAAGTTTGAAAACCCATGTAGAAGACGTATTTGAGGAAGATAGATATCTCGAGAGCTTAGCGGTAAGTTCTGACAAAAAGAGTACAAATTTCTTACCCCTCTACGAGGATTTGATGATTAATCTATGCTTTAAATCGTTGCAGGAGTCGAGTTCGAGTCTAGAGAGACGAGACAGCAACATTTATGACCCGAAACAGGAGCAGGAGCAACCGAGTCCCGTCTCTGTTCTAGAGAGGATTCATGTGGAAGACGAAACAGTTAGCCCCGGAAATGTGAAAACTTCTAAACTCGGTAAATGCCGCAAGATTAATCCAAATCATGATTCCCATCCTCATATCATATCAGTAATTATTCGTTTGATTTACCTGAAAAAGTCTCCTACTTTCATGCAGAAGAGCAGATTGGATTATTATCCTTCGATGATCCAAACATCGATCTCGTCGAAAAAGACTCTGTTCATGAGTTTGTGAGGAAAATTCTTGAAGCTTCAAGATTGAATTGGACTAATCTTATGGCGAGATGCAACGAAGAAACATCACTTCTCAACGAATTCTCACACGGTAATCACAACAACAATCAACTTCTTGTTCTTGATTACACAGACGAGATTCTCCGTGAGGTTTACCGTCAAGAGATAAAATTTTGGCCTTTCACGCCATCGAAGAGCTCGAGAGTCGTCAATGTACCGTCTTCCCTAAGAGAAGAAGATCTGATTCACCAGACGATGAGTCTTTTCGACTGGAGTTTACTCTGCTGTGACTCTTCCCCTAGAACATTGGATCAGATCATTGAGAGTGATCTGATTAAGCCATGTCTTTGGTTGGATTTTGGTGGTGAATCTGAAGGTGTTGTGTCTGATATCGTGGAAAAGATTCTGCAACAATTGGTGCTTGAGATCTCCCGTGAGCTTAGAACAATGCAGAGGAGAATATATGGATTAGTTTGAATTTCTACGGAGCTATTCAACATTTTTTGTTTTTGCTATGTATAAAAAAATTTAAAATTTGTGAATCTTCTCTTCGTAATTAGTTCTTTTAATTAAAAAAAGATCCGTCTTTTCTTTCGTTGTGTCTGGTTGAAGTAAAAGCTTCTGACTCGTTGAAAAGGTTCTGACTTTGACCAATTGGAGATTTTGTGTTCGAATTAGGAGGGATTTAAGGGTTTTGGCTTTACCAGTTCAGCAGCCGGAAATTGTGGGCAAAAAGATTCGAACTTTTTTCATTTCCCATTATTAATGACAAAAGATCATCTTCTCGTTTTCTGGGATTCGGACAAAAATCACAAAACCCTAGTTGCTTCTGCTCTGTTTTTATAAGCCTCCGCTTCCCGCCAAGCCTATCCTGACCATAAACAGTCGAAAAACCCTAGTAAATCTCTCTTTTCCTTCACCAAACCTCTAAAACCCTAGCCTCCATGGAGACGCCGACGATGAAGCCCGACACGGTTCTGATTCTCGATTACGGCTCTCAATACACACATCTCATCACTCGCCGAATTCGATCTCTCAACGTCTTCTCCCTCGTAATCAGTGGAACCTCATCGCTCAAATCAATCACTAGCTATAACCCACGAGTCGTTATCCTCTCCGGTGGGCCACACTCCGTACACGCGCTCGACGCGCCGAGTTTCCCCGACGGGTTCATCGAGTGGGCTGAGTCGAACGGTGTTCACGTTTTGGGTATTTGCTATGGTCTGCAATTGATTGTGCAGAAGCTTGGTGGTGTTGTTGTGGAAGGAGAGAGTAAAGAGTATGGGAAGATGGAGATTGAAGTGAAAGGTAAATCTGAGATTTTTGGGACGGAGAGTGCTGGAGATAAGCAAATGGTTTGGATGAGTCATGGAGATGAAGCGGTTAAGCTTCCTGAAGGGTTTGAGGTTGTGGCTCAGAGCGCTCAAGGTGCTGTTGCTGCTTTGGAGAATCGGAAGAAGAGGATTTATGGTCTGCAGTATCATCCTGAGGTATTGAAATTTAAAGAATCTGATATAATATTGTAGTTATGGATTGGATTGTTAGTGGATTTTAGAGTTTATTGATGATTAAAGTGTGGATCTTTAGAATGATTAGCTGATCATATCTTAGTGAATCTGATGAGACTTGGGAGAATTCATCAGCTGGAAAGCAGTACATGTTCTTACTCTCTCTGATAAGTGAAAAAATGAGACTTTTTAATGATCATGGTAGTTTTGTTGATCGACTGAACTTTTACTGGTTCCTTGATCTACTCGTTCATTTGATGAAAGGGGTGTGCTGGGGTTTCTAAAGCATGGGTTGGAGACAGGTGAATGTTGATTGTAGCTTATGATGAAATGGCTTTCGTTGGTTGTTAGTGGATTTAGGGTTTATTGGTGAGAAATTCTAGATCTTTCGTATGTTAGTTATTCATATCTTGAAGAATCCAAAAAGACCTGGTAGAGTTTGTCAGTTCATGTTCTGTGACTGTCTCTGATAAGTGAAGAAGTGAGACATTATTTTTTTTTGGAGGAATTGGTAGTTCTGTTTAATAGACTGAGCTATTGCAATGGTTTAGTGTTCCATTGATTAGAGAAGTACTCGTGGATGTCTGATAATAAATGTTGCTTATTAATGTATATTGTAGCTTATGATGAAGTGGCTTTTTGTTGGATTTTGCAGGTGACACATTCACCAAAAGGGATGGAGACACTTAGGCACTTCCTCTTTGATGTGTGTGGAGTATCTGCGGATTGGAAGATGGAGGATCTGATGGAAGAAGAGATTAAAGTGATTAACAAAACCGTTGCATCAGATGAACATGTTATTTGCGCCTTATCAGGAGGTGTGGACTCTACTGTCGCTGCAACTCTTGTTCACAGGGCAATTGGAGATAGGCTTCATTGCATCTTTGTCGACAACGGGCTCTTAAGGTCAGAGAAGAAGCGATTTTTCATTTGTGCTGTGCACTTAATAATGTTTATTTGTTTAATTGAGAGTGGTCCGTTTCATAGGTATAAGGAGCAAGAACGTGTGATGGATACCTTTGAGAGAGACTTGCATCTACCTGTTACTTGTGTAGACGCATCGGAGCAGTTTTTGAGTCAACTCAAAGGCGTTGTGGATCCCGAGACGAAGAGGAAGATAATCGGAAGGGAGTTCATCAACATTTTCGATCAATTTGCCAAGGAGTTGGAGAAAAAGCATGGAAAGAAACCTGCTTTTCTAGTTCAAGGGACTCTGTACCCTGATGTGATTGAGTCGTGCCCACCCCCGGGTACTGACAGGACCCATTCTCACACCATCAAGAGTCATCATAACGTCGGAGGACTCCCTAAAGACATGAAGTTGAAGCTCATTGAACCACTCAAGCTTCTCTTCAAAGATGAGGTACGTTACTTTTGTCTTTAACTCTAGCATTCTTTTTCTGCAACTGTATAGTGTTTTACCACAGTTCGTTTTTTTTCTGTTTTGTTCAATTAAGGTCCGTGAGCTCGGAAGAATCTTGAATGTTCCCGTAGGATTCTTGAAGCGTCACCCATTCCCCGGTCCAGGACTCGCTGTTAGAGTCTTGGGAGATGTTACTCAAGGAAACGCCCTTGAGGTTCTTCGTCAGGCAAGTTTATCTAGAACCTTTAGCTCAAACACAATTTCTTGGTTTTGCACTTGCCCCATTGACCAAACTCTTCTTTATCTCAGGTTGATGAGATTTTCATCCAATCAATCAGAGATGCGGGACTCTATGATTCGATCTGGCAAGCTTTTGCAGTGTTCTTGCCTGTAAGATCAGTTGGAGTCCAAGGCGACAAGAGAACACATTCTCATGTTGTTGCTCTTCGCGCAGTTACAAGCCAAGACGGAATGACTGCAGATTGGTAAGATTCTTTCATTTCTTTATACCGGTGCATATAAAACTCGTTTGATCTTTAACTTGTTACGGTGTTGATGTGAATACTTGAGGTTTTGATCTCCCAAATATCTCAAAGTTGGTTAGTTCAGTTATTTTAGAATTTGAGGTCTGAGTATTTGGGTATCTGAGAGTTTTAGGACAGATTATTATAGGTATTTGAGTATTTAAAGTTATGTATTTAGGTAAATGGATAATGAAATTTAACAATCTTTACTTGCTGTGATATTATGTATGACTCGCTAGCCGATCTGAATACAAATTAAGCCACCTAGATTCTTAGGGATAACAAGTTGTATTTGTATCTAATCTTTTCTTTGATTGGTGTTAATTTTTGTTGGATACTTTCTTGCGGTGCAAAAAACGCAAATGCAATTTTTTTTTGTTTTTAATTGTGATTTGGACTGTGATTGGTGGTATTAAAAAATCTGCAGGTTCAATTTTGAGCACAAGTTTCTGGACGATGTTTCCCGGAAAATATGTAACAGTGTTCAAGGAGTAAACCGTGTGGTTCAAGACATCACATCAAAGCCTCCTTCGACGATCGAATGGGAATAAAGAAAGAATCAGATAAATTTTGGCTTTTTATTTATGGATGTCTGCAATTCTTCGATCATGTAAAAATGATTTATCATCATAATTATCGAACAATGATGGTGATGATGCTTATTATTAGTAGACTATGGTTTTCTGATAAACTATTTGATGATGATTATACACTTCATTTTTAGTTTTTTATATAGATTTAAGCCTCGTGTGATATTAGCGTCATGTTGCCGATAAAATATTTACCACATTATTGGTTTCTTGACGTGACTTCGAGCACACCATTTCAAAATCAAATGAGAACCAAATTTACATTAGCATCTCACAGTTTGCATGAACCGGGTTGGTCATTTAGACCGTATATCATATAGTCCATGCTAAATCGAACTCAGCCCAACCCAAATTGTGTGCCAGTAATTATAAAACTTTTTCCATCATTTAGAGTAATCAATAACAATTTTTATAGTGGGATATAATGATTAAAGAAATGCATTGTGTACAAAATGTAGTTCTGGTCAAAATGTACTCTAACAAATAAAATGCATCCTATATTTTCCAAGTCAGTAAACAAATAAAATGGTGAATCTTTGGGTTTTGGTTGAACATGGTTGAATACTGTTATAAAAAGTGTAATTATAAAACTTTTTCCATCATTTAGAGTAATCAATAACAATTTTTATAGTAGGATATAATGATTAAGGAAATGCATTGTGTACAAAATGTAGTTCTGGTTACTCTAACAAACTTAATTTATGGATCCTTTAGTTAGGTTTATACGTTTTGTGATTAGATTTTACGCATGTTTGAGATGGGATGTAGTAACTGACTTCATCCATACTTATCTAAACTAGACTTTGTATCCGCGCATACGCGCAGGTTTTGTTTCGCATAATATTTTAAAAATATATTTGTGTTGATATATATATATATATATATATTTATAAGAATAGGTAATTTGTTTGATTGTTTAGTATTAGGTTTTTAAAAAAATAAAATCTTTGTAAAACAAATAACTTTTTTTTAAGGATTGGAAGGAAGTAGGATAAGTAGAAAAATTATTCTACTATTCTAGAATCATAAACATGATATGAGTAAAAAAAGACGTAGATAAAAGCTATATTTTTTTGGTTGAATTGCTTGAAAACATATAATTACCTCTGATTTTTAATGTTCTCATATTTATGAAATGCACAATTGTCATGCTCTGCAAGAACCATCCATACTTCATGTTTCACAATAAAATGCAGCTATAATAATATGATATTTGACCCATAAAAACCGCCAAATCTTTGAATGAAGAGAACGCTACATCTTTACATTCTTCATACAACAAGGTTAAAAAAAAAGTGTTCATGATAAAGATAAACCGGAAGAAAAAGTATCAAGTTAGTACAAAAAATATTAAAAGTTTTCAGACGAATACCAAAAGATTAGAAATGTTGTTTATTTATTTTTGTTAGGAATGTGGAAAGCCTTAATTTTAATGTAACATAATATTTATGAACATAAATACATATGAAATAAACATTAAATAGAAAATTTAAGTTACAAATAGTGGTATTAATTAGTTTTAACTTTTTATTTTAAAATTTATGATTTATTAATTGGATGAAAAGACATGTGTCTTATATTCAGATGCTGATGTGGCAGCAGGATGAAGAGAGTTCACCTAAAATCATATATACTAGATTACTAGGAGAGAACCCGCGTATACACGCGGTCTTATTTTAATTTATATTTTAAATAATATATTTTAAGAATTTATATTGAATTTTACTTTTACTATCAATGTTTTTACATTTAAAATATTTATATTTTCTTCGATTTCTTCTTGATGATACATTATTTGTAACCTCTTCTACACCACTTGTGCCAAATAATCTAATTTTTTTTCCAAAATAATAAGAGACTAAAAATCTACTATTTTTATTTTTGCATGAAAACGTAATAGTTCACTTAAAAATATACGTTGAATATCAGAGAGAAATATTTATTTGTTTTTCGATCTTCATATTCGTATTATTATTTGTAAATCTTACTAATATAATACTTGTTAACTTTTTCAATTTACCATTTTGAAATTTTTTGGCTATATATATTTTACTGATTCCATCTTTTTTTTAAAAAAAAAAAATTATATATGACATTTTTATGTGGACACCCTTATTTTTACTATTATTTTTAATAACTTTTATCTTTTTAATTGTTTATTAATATTTTTGTGATTTATAATTTTATTAGTTGAAGTTTTATATAAGATTATTTGAATTTTTTAAACTAATTCAATCTCATAATTTCTTTTTCACTAGCATTAAAATTAAATTATATTTTTAGTATGAAAATGAAATTTAAAACACTTGAAACAAAATAGAATGCATTTAAAAAGTTTTGTATATAATATTTATAAGTTTTATATATATAAATTAAAATTGAATATCATTCTAATTTAATACATATAAGTATTTACTTATGTTCTTTAATGTATTTGATTTAATTTTTTTTATTAATATTGTAAATGGATATGTGTCATTCTCTCCACTGCTTATGTGTAACTCAGCTGGAAAGAGTTGAGCTATTTTTATATACTAGATGAATACCTGCGTGTACACACGGGTGTTTTGTTTGTTTTAATATATATTATAGAATTATATTTTTCTACAAAATTAACCTATTTTTTATTTTTGATAATATAAATATCATCCAAATTTGTAAAAATAAAGTCATTAAATGTGATTTTTTGTTTAATATAATTTATTAATAGACATTTTTCTATAAGCTTAATCTAATTTTTTGTATTTGGTAATATGAATATCATATGAACTCATATAAATGTAGTCATTCATATGAACTCATAAAAATGTAGTCATTATTTTTTGTAGATGTAATACTTGTTATTTTTGCACCCAACCAAATATTTCTTCATTATTATTTTTCTCAACCAGTTTTTTTTGTTTGTTAGTTAATTTTTAATGATAAAGTATGTATTTTGTAAGACAAATTTAAAATATTCACCAAATCGTATTTTTAACGCATTTCCATCATTCAGAGATATGTTTTCGCATATATTTTGTGTTAAAGATTAAAGCAGAGAGAGTGATAGTGGAAAAAATACGATATTAAGTTTATGAAACCTCTATTTTTGTGATGAACTGAGCAACCTGAAATGGTATATCCCCAACTGACCTTATTAATGATTCTTCAGCTTATGTCTAATCACTACGAATAGGAAGAGCGTCAGGAAGATGGTTTTTGTCGAGAGACTTGGTGCACTTGGAAGTAAAAAGCAAATATTGAAATTAAATAAAATTAAACCCTACAAACTCGTCCTGTTCACAGTCCATATTACAGGTTTATTTGAAAAATTAAGTCCTTTAAAAAAAATTCTGCATTACCTTCCATTGGAAACATGTCTTGAATATCATAGATGAAGATCAGAAGCCTAAGAGAGCAGATGAGACACAAGCCAATCAGGCAACCAAATGATAAGGACATCAACTTTTTGCACATATCTATGGCACTTTTGTCTCAAGCTCCACTCTCAAACTTCCCTTCTTGACGAAAAGTTATAGCTACCATCCCATATTTAATATCATAACTGAAACTTCAAATCATACATCGAATAATAAAGTAAGAGACTTTCAATCAAAATTCAAAATAGATTTCATTAGAATTTAGAATTTCAAGAGCTGACCTTGAAGCTTTGTCATTGATTTGCTTAAACAATACAGCTCATTTCCTTGTCTTCTTTGACTAATCAATCAAGATTAAAGGAAATAAAAAAAATCAATGAGCATAATTTGAACTTAATCGTTCGAGATTAGCTAAATTCCTTTGAGTTGAGCTTTTCTTAACAATCAGTGGCAAATTCCCAACATGAACAATTATAAGAGCTTACTCTTTACTTCGAATCTTCCCTTCAAAACCATCTTATCCTCTACTTTCTGCCTCGTCTCACCAAGTGTCTTCTCTATGTTGTCGTACTTCTTCTTTGTGCTCAAACAGTGCTGTGTTCTTCCTTGTTCTTCCTTGTTCTTGTTGATTTCTACCCGAGACTTCAAGTCTCAATCCTTTATTCCGGTGGTAGCGTTGTCATCGGTGGGTATGCCTTTATTCAAAGAAAATGAATCAATGTCTATGTAAACAAAATCAGAATGAATTCAATACAAGGAATATAATGCAATTTTCAAAAACCCATAAATCAAAGAGGAGATGAAGAATAAAAAATCTTACCTATTGACTTGTGGAATTTTGAGTCATATTAGAAAGCATTGGAAATTGTTTGAGATTCCATCTTTTCAACTTTTAAAATGGAAATTAATTTGCAGTTCATTATGAACCATAAATTAATATGCACTTCTCTTTCAGTTTCTGTGTTCAATTAAAAACGAAATTAGTATAATTTAATAATTTAATTCTCTCATAATTTTTTTTAATCTGATGTGTCAAAAAAATAGATGCTGATGTGTCAAGATTGTGAGACTCAACTGAGTCTTTATATAATAGATAAGATGATTTATATGTTTAATGTAACTTCAAATATATTATACATTAGTCGGATTTAGCTATGTTATAACTGGATTTATAATAGTCAGAATATATGTTATAACTGGCTAGTCGGACTTATTCATTAGTCGGATTTAGCTATGTTATAACTGGCTAGTCGGACTTATTCATGATAGATTATAATTGATCAATATATATATATATATATATATATCATATATGCTGTAGTCGAGCTTATAGATAATATATAGCTAGATCTTTACATGTTACAGTCGAATTCATAAATATTAATTATTAAATTTATAAAATTTGGTTAGATTAATTAGTATATAGTCACATATATAGATACTATGTACTTTGAACCAAAAAAAATAGATACTATGTACATACATACATTGTTATTGGTTAATCAAGTAGAATACTCAAGCAAATTAATTTAGGTTTTTAATCCAAACAAGATGGTCTAGTTGTCGTTGTACCAGGACCTATGGAAAGGGGATTGCACCCCTCTAACCTTAAGTGCACTTGAGATCGATTTCCACTAGGAACAAAATCGTTTTGTTTGAGTAGACCATCTCCATCCCTTAGCTTTAAAATGCCATTAAAAATAAATCAAAATCATTAAAACCTTAAGAACTGGATGATAAAGCTCTAATATAAGGATCACTTTTTAATGAGTTGTTAGACACTTTTAAAACTTATATTGATTTGGAAAAATTTAAGCTAAAAAGAAGGATTTCTTAATGTTTAATATTCACAAAATTATTATTAAAAAAAAAATAGCATCCCCCATAGAGTCTAACCAGATTTTGCATAAGAAAGGGATGGAGAATTGGAGATGCTCTTAAACTTCTAAATTTATGCGCATGCTTAATCCGTGGTGGCCTTGTTGGACAATCCTGTCAAAGAGCTTGCTCACTCGCGATAGTAGTTTTTTTTTAGGTGTAACTCCCGATAGTAGTTTACGACGATTCTCATATAATTTCGGTTTTAAGTCACTTCCGTTGCTAGTAAATGGATCCATACATGTATATATATACAACATGCTTATCCTATTCTTCTTGCTTTAAATGCTTCTAAATAGTATATATCCTCCTTCTTGCCTTTTCAAATAACCATTACACAAACCTCAACTTCACCAATTGATGGATCTTGTTAATGGTCACCTACCATGCCAACCAATCTCATTAAAAATTTGCCACTCTATTATATTTGTTCTAAATCAAGAAATTCTTCACCCCAATTTTCCAACGCCTCAATTTGTATTTTCAATAAAGTTAAACTCTTACTAATAGATAAAAGAGTTAGTTGGATATTACCATACGAAATCCAAATACAGTAAAAAAAAAAGAGTTGATGTTAAAATTGTAACGCATGTTCAATTTCTCAGTGGCGTTAGATGCAATTATTTGAAATGACATTACTTCTTTTTAACAAGGCTTTGTATTTTGTGAACAAACACTTTATACCAGCTTTTGACCACCAATCTATCTTTAACTTTTCTAAATATATTTCATAACATTAATTTTTCTAAAAATATCAAAAGAATATTGAGATCGGGCTATCTTCCATCTATTTAGAATTTACTATAAAAAAAAATTTTGGTCGATTTTTAAACTAGTCACGAAATCTGAATCTCTTACTTTAGCTTCTCTCTTCTTTTGCAAACGTTACTTTTACTTATGTTCAACAAACGTTTCTAGATTTTTTTTTTGTTGCCCAAACGTTTTTAGTTTATTTCCCCAATATATAATGGATATTGCACGAACTATATACGCCGAGTGTTTCGTTTTACATAATTTAATTTCATAGTATGTTAAGTAAGGAATTCCTATTTGTCTACGTTTTATGAACTAAAAGGAATTCAATCTCATAATAGTTCCAAAGGACCTTCCAAAATTTTAAAATCACAAAAATGAGGTTAGGATCACTAATTGCCGAAGATCAGAACACCAAACCGGATAAAAAGCTAATTCTATCAATCTAAACCGTGAGACCTTAACATATCCATGCAACCCTTTGAAGTGCTTCTTGGATCATTCCTGTTGTAGCTATCTTTGTCCCTTTATGCTGCAACCAACATTAAACATATATATCAAATATCGGTTCACTCATATTCCGGTTAGGAACTTAAAATTAGCTTGGGTTAACGACTGTACCTTGCAATTAACGGTTAAGCAGAGTAAACCATCTCCGGTTGATGACTGCACCGAGTGAGAATCCAAGTTGAGATCACTAATCACATCCATAATCTCAAGCAATATCCCTTCTCTCCAAGCACATCTAAGCTCAATAACCACCTCATTACCGAACGAACCGATTCTTAAGTTATCGGTTAGACCAGCATAACCGGTATCAGCCGGTTCATCTTCTCCTACATTCACATCACTCTCCTTCCTCTTGCTGTTCATACAATTCGCCGAGGCTCTTTCATCTTCATCCTCCGGTTTCTTCCTCTTCATAGCAATTCGAATTTCTGTATTGGTAGATTCTCTGCAAGATTCCAATTCTTGAACCCGTCTTTGAAGTTCTTGAAGATACTCAATCGTATCATCAAGAATTGAGACTTTATCAATCTGAAGAAGAGACTCAAGATTAGTTCATTGAACACATCATACCTCAACATGTAAATGCAAAACGCTATTGAAGCAAAAGTGTTGGATTAGGTTACCTTACTGATCGAAGGAATGATTGATCTCAACGTCATAAACCGATCATTCAATTTCTCTCGGCGTTTCCTCTCCGAGAATGCATGGTTCGCGGTTTCATCTCCGACCTTAAACTCGCTATCTTCGGGTGTGTCTGGTAACAACAAAGCCTTTTGATTCATCAGAGGAACCTCGAATATAATCTTCTTTAACATCTTCTGCGATTTCTCTCCCAACGTTTCTGCAGATGATGACCGCTTCCACCGCGTGAAGCTTGACCGCTTATCAAAGTTCTGAAACTGCGGTCCAAGAATTAGCTGATGCGTCGTTTTGAAAATGGTAGAGATCACGCTTTGGTAATGAACATCATCGTCCATATTTACGTGGTTACTCTGTTCTTGAATTTGACCTAACCGTTGAACCTTACTCTTTCTTGGATCACAAGCAACTCTTCTTGTTGTCCCAACAAATGTTTGAGAAACGCAATCGCTAGAATTAAGCGATTGGTGAACGCAGTTACTGAGTTCTTCCCCCACAAACTGCCAGCTTTGTACCTGAGACGCACCACCACCATTGATGAACGAGTCATGATCCTCTGGTTCTTGCTCAAAACCACTCGTAGAAGTCGTAGGAAAAGTTTCATTTCCGAACACCGGAATGTATTTATCGTCGCATAAAGGATCGAAAATTTCTTGAAAATCGGATCTCGTTGATATTGTAGCAAAAGGAGGAGCTTCAAGGAACAGGGTCTTCACGCATTGTATCACGTTTAAGTCCTCTGTAATCTAAAAGAATAAAAAAACAATAAAGCAGACCTTTTAACTTTTTTTAACAAACAATTAAAAATCCTCGAAGATAAACTGTACAGCTTTATGACAAAGTTGATTTAAAATGTCTCAGAATTTAAAATCTTTTGCTGTATGATGGGACTTATTCTGTGCTATCTTTTGTAATTCAAATAGAATAAAAAGATGACTATTTCATATACTTTTTGTATATTTTTCTCTTTTGTAAACATTGTATACGTTCAATGCCAAAGTAATATTATATATTTCAACCAGGCACTTAGACTAATCAGGTGGTTAAGCCAAAAACTCGTTTACTTTTCCGTTGACTTGATCAAAATCGGAACGTTCAAATTTGTAGAACAATACTGATATTGGCTTTTTATGAATGTTTTGATAGTTTTGGGACAAAACTAGAAAATATTGGCTTACATGTTCGGTTGTGCCGATCTCAAGGACTCCTCCAAGAAACGGGAAGCAAACCACTGTTTGAAGCGAAGCACTCTTAAAAAAAAAGCAAAAACACCACACGAGAAAAGCGTTTTCAGTTATAGCGTTGGGCGTTTCAAATTGCAAAATATTACTCAAAACTTACTTTAGCGAGAAGAGAGCGAGTGAAGACTTTGTTATCGGCGGTATGAGCGTTACAAAGCCATATTGGTTCCCCGTTCGATAATGCTCCTCCGGGTATTCTATTGACAAAATGACGGAAATATCTTTATGTTTATCCTCTAATTATTATCTTAATTTGAGGACAACAATTCTTTTATTTTCATCTGACTTTCAAAAATTGTAAAATGTGAATTTTAAAACACAAACATAAAATTTTAATCGATTAAAAATGGCGTTTGTAACAATCAAACTCGTACATGTCGGAAATAAGCTCCCATGGAAGATGAGAATAGCAGGAGACAAGATAATAAAGGATGTTTTTGTCCTTTTTATGAGACAAAATCAAATACTCTGTATTTTAATATAAATACTGTTTTGAGAATTTTTAGCACGAACTTAGAAAGCAAGTAAAATTCTATTATATCCACACAAATATACATCATCTTTGGCATTAGTTTACATTTCAAGTGTTTTACCAAATTACATATTTTTCTTTTATCAAACATTATAATAAATTTTGTAAGTAAAATTCCTTTTTAATGATTTCGAAATGAAAGGATTATACGGTATCAATTTACGTTGTTAGATTATAAGGAAAAGACGGAATTACCCTTCACCGATGTTGAAGACGAAAGACATGCAGACTAAGTAGTACCACTCGGTGTCGGTGAGATCCTCAGGGGAGAGAGCGGCGGCGGAAGCTCGTCTAGTGACCTGAGAGCCACCAGAGGCTGAGGATTCAGCAACGGAGAGAGACTCGTAAAGCTCTCTAAGCTGTTCGCTTCTCTCAAGACCTAACTTGTCGGCTTTGACTTCAGCAGCTTGAATCGTCTTCCTTGTCTTAATGTCTCCATTGTAATATCCATCTCCCCACTCCAACACTCTGTTTTTTTTTTACCCAATAAAAACACCGAAAAAAATCCGAATTGAAGCACTATGATAAACCGAGAAAACAAGATCAAAATAGAAATTTGATGTGAGCCCTGAAATTTTATCAGAGTTCTCTATTTAAAATAAGTATTTAGGAAAGTTAAACGAAAAAATTAAACCCAAAAAAAAAAAAATTTGGTTGGCTTATACGCTTTAAATGTCAAGAGTTTTTTCCGGCTCTTGAAAGAAACTCCGGTTCAAGATCCCGGTTATAGATGTGTTACAAAAAAAAAAGATCCCGGTTATAGAAAAAAATTAACGAGTTGAAGAAATGTCAGAGATTATTCTAAAAAACAGAGCAGAAGTGAGAAAGATTGGGTTTTGAAATGAGGCCAAGAAGTTTTATCCGAGTTTTGGATTCGAATAAACAATGATTCATGATTATGATTCTTATAAAAGTTTCCAGGAATCTCTTAGGGATCTAGAGCCAAGAAAACTTTAGTTTCAGGCAAAAGCTAATTTTTAAGGATAAAGGAGATGTACCCTGGTTGAGAAGCAGAGACAGACCAGAAGATTCCGTAACTCCATTGAATGTTTCGAACTGAAACTGCAAGCTGTTTCTTTAGATTTTCCGGCACCGTTCTGTTTTCTCCGGCAGCCATTGTTTCTTCATCTATGTAGCATCCCCATGTAAGCATCCACAATGAAAAAATCTGACTTTTTTAAATAAACAAAAAATGTTGTCTTTGAAAACAAAATCAGAAGACCAATAAAAAGAAGAAGAATGGGTTTAAAGGTTATGACTTATTGACTTATGATTTAGTGATTTTTTTGTCTTTGGTTTGAAAACTCCACGAGTTAGTGATGATTATTACATGACTTTGGTTCGGGTTCATGAAGGAAGAAGACAACAAAACTTATTATTTTATTTTTTTGTTCAAAACAAAACTCAAGTATATTTAACCTTCTATAAATAGGGGAAAAAGGCTAAGACCAATTAAATATTTGTTGTGGTTGAATCGAGCTTTGAGTTGAGAAATAAGGACGGTGTCCGAATCTCCTTTAGGTGTACACTGTATATTATCACAAAACACTGAAATTTACGAGGTTTTTATTTATATTAAAAAAATGATTGGTAAAAATACAAAAGTAGTGTGTACCTACCCTTGGTTGAATATTGTGTTCCAAGCACTACTCTTTTTTTAGGATTTTTGTGTTACAAGAATTCAAGTACGTTCTTTCTCTTTGTATTATTTTGTATGAAGTGATAAATCTTAGGCTAGTTTTCTACATGAAAAGTAAGAAAAAACTTACACCAATTTTTACTTATCTACTCATCATCAATTAATTTTAAATGGAACAATACCCATCAATACAATTACGAGACCACTTTCTCTACAAAAGAAAGTTGATTTCAGATTGAGATAAATAAGCCAAAAAAAAGATTAATTATCTTGATGAAGCATGCTAAAACTTACACATTATAACGAATAAATGATTTTAGGTTAAAAAATCATAATTTCAGAAATATGTTAGATAGCTCAAATGTAATGTAAAATGAATAGCTAATCAGTAATGCAAAGTCGAAATATCTAATAATTAATAAGTAAAATGTGGAATTTCAGAAATATGTTAGATATCTCAAAATGTAATTTGCGTACATTTAGTTTTATGTTTGAAGTAGCGAAGTAACTTGAGAAGACTATGGGTTCTTTATTTCTAAAACTAAATAAACCATATATAGAGTTTTGGTGTAATAGCTAAATTAGTCCATTTATTTACTTATAACAATATACTCCATAGATAATGAAAATTGTTTTTCTTTTTATTAAAATAATACTCTTAAAATCCAACGGAGGCCTGTTTTTGCCACCCATACGACAAGTTGTGGTTAACTGTTATGAGTCCAATATATACACGAAAAAAAATTTCAGGAAGAATTTCTTACTTTAAATATATAACTGATTCTAGTGGCGAAACACGAAGAAGGACATGAATTTAATGTTATGCCTCGAGGAGCTCCCGCGAAACAGACAGACAAGCTTGTAGTATTGAGTATTGACTAGTACTCAAATACTTTTCAATTCTTAATTTATTTATATTATTTTATAATATTTTTTACATTGTTTTCGAGTCTTAAGAAGTAGAGCGTTTAGTTGTAATTGCTAATTAGTTGTCCACCTTCAGTTTTATCGCAAAAGGGTTAGTTTTTCTTTTTTGTGCGAGTCAATTACATATCCATATAGGCATTGTTATCTTTTCAACATGCAATTGATTTCCCATAACATGTCACTGTAATTTTATCGCTGAAAAATCATACAAAGCTAAACGATTGTATTTGAACGAGGGTATTCAAATGAAATATTTAATTAATAGAAGAAACCTTGAGTTATTAACTATCAGAAGCTAGTATATGTTTTTACTAAAATCTTCGCAGCTCCCAAAATTATCACCCCCTAACTAGGACTACTTGTCGTATTCAAACGTTGAAAAACGAGTAAGACTTTAGTTATTTTATTTACTCGTGTATTGATTTTTTTTTTTCATCTGAATATATATTTGAATTGAAATATTGAACGTGTTACAATATCCTTGAGGATACCAAAAAAGACAGGATCGAGGAAAATCAAACCAAGATGAACAACCAATATTACTACTATGCAACACTACGTTGATTAACAAAAAATTCCTTTAACCATCTCGGGAATCCATAAGCAATATATGATTGCCAACGATCCTCTCTTGTAACACTTTGAGCAATAAGATTGGCTCCACCATTGGCCTCATATGGTTCCAGAACCACTTTCCACTCTAAAATGGAGCCTAGAATTGATAATAACTCCTTGGACTGATGTTTGAAGGATGGCCATGCAGGAGGACGATTAACAGCACCAATAAGCTCATCAGATTCAGCAGCAAAGATAATCTTAGTGAATTTCAGAGATTTGATGCTATCAAAAGCCCAAAGCCAGCTTTTGAGGTTTGCATCAGATTTAGAGCCAATATTCACAAAGGATCTTCTTCCATGACACAAAACCTCTCCTTTTTCATTTGATAGAACCCACGCCGCTCCTCCACATCTCTTCCACTTATCCCACGATGCTCCAATATTGCATTTGACCCACTGAGAAGGCGGAGGAAACCAAACCTTCCGATCCCTATGATCCCTTTCCTTTGATCTACAATCTTCCTTCTCTGTCAATTCCTGGGCTTGGAACCATTGATTAGAATCCTCTTTAATCTTCCCAATTGTATCGAGGATATGAAAGTTCATTCCTTCAAAAATGAAGTTGTTGCGATTCTTCCATAACATCCACAATATCCAGGGAAAGGATCTTCTAACCTCCAAATCCACCTCCAAACACTTTCCCATCTCCAGCAAGAAAAATAAGTTCTGATACTCAGAAGCTTGATTAAATCCACATTGAGGATATGGAAAGTTGGAAAGAGCCCAGATTTGTCTCGCCATCGAACAAGTAAACAGAATGTGATTAACCGATTCACCCTCAAGACCACAAATTTGACACCTAGAGTCCGCCTTCATTCCCCTCGCTAAAATCTTGTCAGCCACCGGAATAGCACCACTGATAACTTTCCATAAGAACACCTTGATTTTAGGAACAGTTTTCAGAGCCCAGATTTTGTCTTTCAGCGGATTAAGAGAGGGAAGCATAGAGGCTTCTCTAATTGCATCACTTCTGTAAATCTGACAGGCTAGCCAATAACCTGACCTCACTGAATATTCCCCACTTCTATTGTGTTCCCAACACCAATAGTCCTCCAATTCTAAGATTGGCTTGATCTTCAAAATCAGTTCAATATCACGAGGGAAGAACAGATCATCGAGTTTGTCCCTATCCCACCATTTTGATGTTTGGTCTATAAGGTCTTCAACCCTTAGATCAATATTTACCAGAATGTTCATCATTAGCGGAGCTCTCATACCACCATCATTCAACCAACAGCTGGTCCAAACACTAGTAGACTTACCATTACCAATCATTGGTCTAAGCCCTCTACTCAGAAGCTCTCTACCATGGATAATGCTTCTCCAAGCATAAGAAGGTCTTAATCCCAATGCTGCATCTAAAAATCCATCATCCCCAAAATATCTACTTTTCATGAACCTCGAAAATAGACAATTTGGTTCTTGGAGGATTCTCCAAGCCTGTTTGGCTAAAAGTGCTTGATTGAATATTTGGATATCCTTGAATCCAAGACCACCTTGAGCTTTAGGCAAACACATTTTATCCCATCCAGTCCAGTGAGTTTTACGAGCA